ATCGACAAAACTTTACAATACTTTATTCTCCCATTTTGAACAATAAAATTACTTGAACTTCTTTATTTTTAAAAATTTACATTTTCCTTTTTGAAAGTAAATAATTAACGTTTCGTATTTCAAATTAGATTAGAATTTTGCATCTTCACCTTATTATCAAACATCAACTCAATTAATCTCCTTTTTTTTAATTTTATTTTTTGACATCTTTTTTTTTTCAAATTTCATTTTCAAATTTCTTGGCAAGTACTTAAATTAACTTGAAATCCAATCTAAATCCGTTAATTTACACTAAAGTAAGATTTAAATCAAATTAGTTTGTATTTAATTCATGTAATAAAATTTGTCGAAATTAATTACAGTCGCTTTAAATTCGTTTTGATTAAAATCCCTTAAATTACATTGGTATTAAACCCATTCATTAAATATTAACAATATAAATTTGCATTCAAATAAATATTTAATTCATTTCAATAAATATTTAATTCATTTCAATATTTTTTAAAAGTCATCTCTATTTTAAATTTCGATTTTTTTATTTTTTTCTCAAATTAATTATTTTGGAAATCTTGAATTTCGAAATTCAATTAATTTCATTCCTTTTTCTGTAAAATCTTCTTCTTAAATTTTAATTTTCTCGAATTAATTTATTGCGGGCATTTTTGCCGAATTAAATTGCACACTGCCTCCACAAAAATCCCTAAATAGTAAATTCCTTTTATCCTTTCCTTTTTCAAAAAAAAAAGAAAAATCATCCTCCTTGAAATTTTTTATTTTTTTTTTTGACATTTTGTAAATTCGGAATTTTTTTTTCTTCGTTGGAAAACCTTGGCAATTATCTTTATTTATTGATCAATAAATAAGGGATTGGACCCCCCACCTCCACATGCCACCCAGCCAAACCAAGAACTCCCAACGTGCCGCCGGCGCCACCACTGCTGCATCATCCTCCGCACCCGTTCAGGCCATGTCCTCCACCCCCTCTTCCCCTGAAATGGCCGCATCCTCCATCAACATGTCTGACATCCATACCGACTCAGTCGATAGCATCGCCCGCAACCTCGCAGGCGAAGACATTGCCATCCCCGACCTCTCCGCCATCCTCCACGCACTCAACACCCTTCGAACCTCCGTCACCGCCTCTATCGACGACATAAAGGCCAACATGTCGTCCATATGTGACCGCGTCACCACAATCGAAGGGACTATCCCCTCCATCACAGTGATCACGACCGTGCAAACCACTCCCTCCTCCAGAGCGCAAACCACTCCCTCCTCCACAGTCGCCTCCAGCAACACCCCCCCGCCGACCTCCTCCACTCCTACCACCTCTACCACCACATCCACCAACCCTTCAACCTCCACCACCGTTCTGTTCCCTCCACCTCCTCCCTCATCCGACGCATCCAGCACACCGCCTCATTCTTCGCCTATCCACGTCACCCCTCTTCCCCCCCGCACTCCCAAACCCTCTCCCAACCCATCATGACCACCTCCACCATCCCCACCATCCGCCCCACCTATTCCCAAGTCACCTCCGGGGTTTACCCCGCAATGCCACAACTCCCCCCCAACTACCTCCTTGAGGACAACAACCAAATCGACCACACCTGCTACGACACCACCCCCGATAATCTCAGCTTCAACACCCTCGTGCAGATCTTTCACCGCGACGGGGAAATCCCCCGTTCCTTCCGATCTGCCGAAATCATGTCCTTCTCCGGCCTCCCCCACGAGGACGTTTTTCTCTTCCTAACCCAACTTCCGAACTCTTTTCACCTCCACCATATGCCCCTTGGCTCCCCATTGCCGCCTCCCGCCTCCTCGACAATGCAGCCAAATGGTGGATGGCTGAAGTTAGCAACCACCGAGCCTCCGGAGGACCACGTCACACCTTCCTCCAATGGGCCAACCTTCTCACTGCCACCTTCCGCCCCCAGAATACCATTGACAACTACCTTGAACAATTCTGCCACCTTCGCTAGAACGGTCCCATGGACCACTTCGTCCAATATGTCGCCTCCCTCCGCCACCACCTCCCCCACACCGTCATTCCCAACTTTGCGTTCATCTCCCGCATCAAACGAGTATGCCACAAAGACCTTGCAACCGCCCTCGCCCACGAACCCGACATGCCCCTTACTGACCTCCTCTCTTGCATGCTTCACCACGATCGACTCCTCCACACCCACTACCAGCCCCCGCCCGGCCCCTCCCGCACCCGCTTTTTCCACCACATCACCCTCGACGACACTACCTCCATCACTTCCTCGGACGAGTTCACCACACCTGACCCCGATGCATCTTCCGATTCACTCGACTCTTCATCCCTCACTTCCAAGGAACTCAATGTCGTCCAATTCATGAGAATGGAGCGCAGAGATCGCAGCTCCCGACCCCCCTCATCTCCCCCCCCCTCCCGCCTCAAGAAACTCACCCCCGTTGCTCACCTACCTCCAAGCAAAAGGGGGTTGCTTCCGTTGTCGCCAATTGGGGCACCAAAAAACCAACTGCCCCAACGCGGCACGATTCACCCGCCAGTCCGCCTCCACTCGACCCGCAACCTCCGCATCAGCGCCCTCGGCAAGCGAGGACCCCTCCTCATCATGAACACAGTCCCCAAGACATTGACCCGACATCGACATCGCGTCTGTCGGCGTCCTCCGTCCAACTGATGGCCCAGCTGGCGTCGACAATTCGTCTGCCTCCCCCCTCTCCGGTGATGCCTCCTCCACCGGACGACTCCCAGGCGTTGCCCCACCCTCCCGCCTCAAGAAACTCACCCCCGAGGAGCGCATCTACCTCCAAGCAAAAGGGGGTTGCTTCCGTTGTTGGCAATTGGGGCACCAAAAAACCAACTGCCCCAACGCGGCACGATTCACCGGCCAGTCTGCCTCCACTCGACCCGCAACCTCCGCATCACCGCCGTCGGTAAGCGCGGGCCCCTCATCATGAACACAGTCCCCGGGACATTGACCCGGCGTCGACATTGCGTCTGTCGGCCCACCCATCGGTGACGTCCTCCGTCCCACCGATGGCCCATCTGGCATCGACAATTCATCTGCCTCCCCCCACTTCGGTGACGCCTCCTCCACCAGACGACTCCCAGGCGTCGCAAACACCTCCCACTGCCTCATGCTCCTCTACCCTTCTTCCAAACCCATCCACTATCACCATCTCCGATGTTGTTGAGGAACAAGCCCAACACGATCGGCTTGTCCACTTAGGCAACGAACAACGCCGCCTCAACACCATCATCTCCACCGCCAACTCATCTCGTTTCCACCTCAAGTTCATCGCCGCCACCCTTGGTACGTCTACAACTATGTTCCGGGCCCTCGACATTGGAGCCACCGATAACTTCATGACTGACGCGTGTGTCCGCAAAGCCAGTACTGGTTATGACTCCCCGATCAAGATTCGCCTAGGGGACAAAGACACCGCCGTCGTAGTAGACCGCACGGTTCCTGAGACCACCATGACCGTCGGAACCCTCTGTAGTCATGTCTCGTTTGATGTCATGCACTTGATGTGCGGCATCGTCTTAGGAACCCAGTGGCTGGACCGCTACATGCCATAYGCATTCCACCCCAACTTCCTTCGCCTCACCAACCCCCCCGACACAACCATCGACATCCCCTATCTCCCATATCCGACCTCCCACGGCTCTGTCACCCCACACCAATTCCTCCACATGGCTCACCTAAACCCTGACTCTGCCTACTACTGTCTTGTCGTTGATCGTGAAAGTCCCGAGGACTTACTCCCGACGAACAAACCCGATCAAGCGCCCCCCTCCAACCCCGCCATCACCTCAATCCTCGACGAGTTCAGGGACGTCTTTCTTGAGTCCTTACCTGCCGGACTACCTCCGGATCGTGGCGTATCGCATACCATCGATTTGGAACCCGGACATTCTCCACCTTGCCGCCCTCCATACCAACTCTCTGTTCCCGAAGCCGAAGAAATGAAGCGGCAACTCGGTGAACTCCTTGAAAAAGGGTTTATTAAGCCAAGTTCATCCCCCTTCGRAACCAGCTGCCTTTTCGTCAAGAAAGGTGGAACTTCGGAACTCCGCATGTGCAACAGACTACTGCGCCTTGAACCGGATCACGATCAAGAACAAGTACCCCCTACCTCAGATTTCTGAGCTCCTTGATCATTTCCGTGGAGCCAAGTACTTTACCAAGATCGACCTTCGCAGTGGCTTCCACCAGATCCGTATCCGCGAGGAGGACACCCACAAGACCGCCTTCCGCTCTCGAATCGGGCACTACGAGTTCCTTGTGATGCCATTCAGACTCACCAATGTTGTCGCTACCTTCCAATCTACCATGAACCACATCTTCCGCAACCTCCTCGAAGTCTGTGTCGTCGTCTACCTTGATGACATCCTTGTCTTCAGCCCCACCTTCGAGTCCCACCTTCAGCACCTCCGCCAAGTCCTCTCGATCCTCCGAGAGCGAAATATCTATGCCAAGCTCAACAAATGTATGTTTGCCACTTCGAGCGTCAAATACCTCGACCAAATTGTCTCCGCTGAAGGCATCCGTATGGACCCCTCGAAGGTCACAGCCCTCGTCGAGTACCCGCCACCCAAGACCCTTCTCCAACTCCGTTCCTTCCTCGGCCTTGCCAACTATTACCGCCCGTTCATTCRCAACTTTTCCGAGATCTCTTACCCTCTCCACGAACTCACCCCCAAGGACCAGCCCTTCCATTGGAACGATCGCCGCCAACAAGCTTTCGACTTACTCAAGCAAACTATCACCACGGCCCATGTCCTCGAGATCGCTGACCCCACTCGCCATTTCTATATCACCATTGACGCCTCCGACTTCGCTATCGGAGCCGTACTGTCCCAACATTTCCCCTGTGACACGGCCGAGACCCCCTTTGTCAAGGACTCACCCACTCACCTCGAGGCTCCACCTGGCGAATACCCCATCGCCTTCGCAAGCAAGAAGCTCCTTCCCGCGAAGATGAATTACCCCTGCAACGAGAAGGAACTCCTCGCCGTGATTCACGCCCTCACAGTCTGGCGCCCGTACCTCGACGGGCAATACTTCACCATCTGCACCGACAACACCATCGTCTCCTCCATCCTCTCCAAGAAAGATGTCACTCCACGCCAAGCCCACTGGCTAGACTTCCTTGCCCAGTTCACATTCACCATTTGCCATACCCCCGACAAAAGCAACCGCATTGCGGATGCCCTCTCTTGACGACCCGACCACAAGCCCCCCGAGAAAGTCTACGCCACCATGACTCATATCCAACTCGTTCCATCACTTCATCATCGATACACCCAAGGCTATCTCTCCTGCTCAGACTTCGCCACCATTTACAACAGGCTCCGCGATCTGGACCTTGTTCCTGACTACTCCCTCCACAATAGCCCCCTCTACATCGATACCAAAGGCACTCGCCGACTTTGCATCCTCGACGCACGAGGACTCCGTACTCAGCTCTTGGCCGAGCACCACGACGCCAAGACCGCAAGACATCTCGGTTTCCAAAAAACCGTCGACACCATCTCCCGCTACTTTTACTGGCCTTCCCTACTCGCCGATGTCAAGGCATACATTCGCTCATGCCCCACGTGTCAAGTTGTCAACCCCTTGAACCGGGCCAAACCCGGCAAGCTCCAGTCATTGCCATCCCAACTCACCGGTGGCAGTCCATCTCAATGGACTTCGTGTGCGGCCTCCCCAAGATCGACCTCGGGCATGACTGCATCTACGTCATTGTCTGCCGCTTGACCAAACGTGCCCACTTTGTCCCTTGCACGACCTCGCACAATGCCAAAGACGTCGTCGTACTCTTCTTTGACCATGTTGCTCGCCATCACGGCCTCCCCGAGAACATCATCAGTGACTGTGATCCTCTCTTCCTCTCACAATTCTGGAAACACCTCTTCACGGCCTGCGGAACCACGCTCAAGTATAGCACTGCATTCCACCCACAGACCGATGGACAAAAAGAGAAGATGAACGATACACTCCAAAGAATCCTGCGGAAGTATTGTCATCCACACCAACACGATTGGGATCAGGCCTCACAGCCACCGAGATTGCCTACAGCAACGCCGTCTGCCCTTCCACCGGCATGTCCCCATTCTACCTCGACCTGGGCTACCGCCCTCGCTTGCCCTTTGACTTCTTGCTCCCTTCGCAGCTTAACCCATCCACCCCCTGCCCCTCTCTCAATGAATGGGTAGCAACAATGAACAGACTCCTGAGAGAAGCCTCCGAAGTCGTTGAACGAACCCAAGAACAACAAGCCAACAAGAGTAACAAACATAGACGCGACGTGTCATTCAAAGTAGGGGACAAAGTCTGGCTCTCCGCCAAACACTTTGAACCCGAACACGGCTCGTCCAAGAAACTCTCCAGCAAATGGCTCGGTCCCTTCCCCATCATTGAACAAACCTCCCCCGTCAACTACAAACTCCAACTTCCCCCTGACATGAGTCGTGTCCACCCAGTCTTCCATGTCGACTACCTAAAAGAATACCATGAATCCCCGCCCCAGTTCGACGACCGCCCATATCCTAGACCTCCACCAATCATGCTACCCACAGGCCCAGAATTCGTTGTCGAAACCATCATCGGCCGACGAACCACTGAGGTATCTGATCATCCGGAACCAATGGACCGGATACCCCGACGAAGAATATACATGGGACCTCTCTCTAATCTTAAGAACGCCATGAAACTTGTCCACGCCTATGATAGTGCTAATCCTACATCCTAGATACCTATATCACTATGGCATAAATCCCCGCTAAACCCTTGCAACCCTGGTCTACACACACCCTTGAACCCAGTTCACCCTTCCCTTGATCCGCATTCCTGATGTCTGATCTGCCCTTGCCCTCGCCTAGCCTTGTCCCGTCTGTCCTCTCCACTACCTTGTCTCTCTTGTCCAATGGTTGTGAACTTGCGTGACGCCGGCGATAAAGGATCTAATGGCAAGCGCACGAGGACGATGGCCTGCTGCCTCACTGTTCATGGAGATTATGCAGCTGGTTTGGCCACCATGCTGTTTCATTGGCCGGCATCCCCGACTCGCGGACTTACTGGAGCAGCAACTTGTGACATGGATCTTTGCATCAGTCTGCGACTTCCTTGCTTCCAGATCAGACCTCATTGCAGTTCGTGTACTGGACGCACCCTAGCACTTGGACTTTGACACTTGAACTACTACTACGCTTCTTGGACTTCTACCTATCGCCGCTGCTGAAGACCGCTTCTACCACCTACTCCAAAGACCTGATCAAGACCGCTGCAGACCCCCTTTCAAGAGACTTGGACACACCAGCCTTTGCATCCTGAACAAACATTTTCATTTTTATTTTTCCGACTTTGACAACCCTGTAGAACATCGTTAGCAGATCCGTGTTTCCCTAACCATTGTTTCCCGTACCCACTAGAACATTGATAGACATCCCCTGTTCCCCTGACTATTGTTTCCCTTACCCACTAGAACTTCAATAGAAGTCCCCTGTTCCCTGAACTCGGTTCCCCCTTAACCTATAGCAAAGCATGAAGTCCCCTTAGTTCATCAGTAGGACTACCCTGCTTCCTGCCATTCCTATAGTTCATTTGTAGGACTACCCTGTTCCCTGCAACCCCCCTAGTTCATCAGTAGGACAACTCTGTTCACCGGTACCAAACCCTGTTCCGTCTTACTCACGCAGCGCATGCAACCCACATTATACCCCTCTTCCCTTTCGACTTGTTAACCAGTGATCGGCCCCGTCCCGTCCTTCACAGATTTCAGCATTGCTTCATGATTTTTGGCAGTCGGGACAGTGCCTTCTAGAGGGAGGGGATAGTGTTACGGACTCCGCCAGGGCTCGATCCCTGGTCTATCTTTTTGCTGTTTCGGCTGCATCCCGTTTTCGGCCTGGAACCCTTTTTCCAAACCCCTCCTTTGGTACCGTAGGATTTTGGACAACTGGCGCCATGCTGAAATTCGGGCGCCACTTTCAAATACCGCATTTTTCAGTTCTGCGCTTGGGGCCTTTGCAGAAATGCCCCTGGTACCGTACGTGTCACCGGTAGTTATACCGGCTCCCCGTACGGTACGGGGACCAGTCTCGTACCAGTTTTCTGCTGCTGTACTCGTACTCAGTGTGACTTGCTGTTTCGGCATTCGGAATCCAAGACTTCGACTTTGTGCCTTGCCACTGTGTCTGCGTCCGACCCTCAGTCCGAGTTAGTCGTGTCGAGTGAGTGAGTGTGTGTGTGCTCTCCCTCTCTCCCTCTCAGTCTCCTCTCCCTCGGCTCACCCTTAGCCTTACGCCCGCCACAGACTGTCTCGTGGAGGTCGCTGTTGCCCCACAAACAATATCGGAATCTCTTGTGTATCTTGTATACGCTTTCAGAGAGACCATAGTGGTTTCAAGGTGCTTGAGCAGCTCCGCCGGGCCTGGGGTTTGAAGAGGTGTTAGTCTTCGATCTGCCGCGTCCTCAGCCTTTGGCGGGCCGGCTTTAGAAGAAGAGGCAGCCTCACTTGTAGGGCCGGTTGGTGTTGCTGCCACCACCGCGGCCACTTTCGGCGATGCTGATCTCTGCTAGGCAACCGACCAAGATTCTTGGCTTCCATGTTCATCACTATGATCTGCGCTGCCTTGTTGAAGAGCTCCGCACTTGTGGTGAGGGTCTCCGCTACTCGTTTGCTGCATTTGAAGACCCTGTGATGTAGTAGTGTTTGATGCCTTTGAAGACCGTCGACAAATCCGGCGTGGATGCCAAGCATTGGTACTCGGCAATCCAACCTCCACTTTGCAAGTGTTCTGATGGATCGGCTGGCAATTGAACTTCGGGATGCTCACGCGTGGTGATGAGGCAGGACCGGCAGCTGTGGCGCAAATCTGCTGCTCAAGTTGTTTAGTTCCAGCCTGCTGTCGCTGCACACCGGTCTTGAGAGTCCCGACGCCGATCTCCAAAACGTCGAGGCAACCGGCGTAGTTGGAGGAGCTGGCGCCTGGAGCAGCGATGGGTCGTTCCAACAGCTGTATGCGGCTGGTCAACTGTGCAAATGACTTCTTGTGGTCATCGTCCTCCAGGCAGTGGATATCCTCCTGCTGCGTAATGCAGGTGGCCAGGAGGTCCGTGAAGCGGGAGAGCAACAGCGAGATCTTGAGTCCACTGTTGCTGACGTCGCCGTTTTCTGCCTTTGTTCGTCATTCTGCGGCCAGCTTGAGTAAATCTCTCTCCTCCTTGAATACATTCTCGTGTCGCTGTCGGCGTTCGTCATCTGCAGCCTTTGCAAGCTGACGTTGTTTCTCTGCCTCGTCCTCCTCTTTCTTCTGTGCGGCTGTTGCCCCGTCTGCTCTTTGCTTGGCTTCAGCCATGATGTTCAGCATCCGGGCCGTGTAGGCCGCGGCTGTTTCCCCTGCCATCTGCTCCATGGCGTTTGTTAGTGAACCTGTGCTCCCGGGCATGGGCTGCTGGACCTCTGATGTTAACTGTTGCTGACGTGGCACGGCTGTCGGCTGACGTGTTGCTGACGTGTGTTGCATGCTGCGCCTGCACACGGGCCCCATTTGAGGGACCCGACGGTTGCTGAAGGGGCCCCAGGCCGCGTACCATCCAACACGCGTCCTGGAGGCCCACGACGGCACTCCAGGCCCTAGGCAGCACACTATGTAGATTGGCTGTAGTTTTACTTACCGTGTTTTTGGTGTGTGTGTTGTGTCTTATTTTTGTCTGTTCAGGTGCCTTTTCGGACTTGCAGCCCCAAGGCCGGACCTTGGGACTGGGTACACCGGAGGCAGGCCCGAAACGAGGCCAGGCGCGCTTTGGTGCCAAACCAACCGGTACCAGCGTCGTTTCGGTCCTGCAGGACCCAAGACAGCACCTTGGGCCAGGTGCACCGGTAGAAGGCCGTTTTTAGGCCAGGCGCATTTATGCGCCATGCTGCAGCAGCAGCAAGGTCTGGACGTCCTGTAGGGACCCAGACCACCTGGGCCGTTTTAGGCCACACAGCACCAGGTAGGCCCGGCCGCCCAGCGCTACAAATAGCTGGGCAGCGGCTGGGCCAGGGACAGTTCGGGTAGCCCACTTCTGGGCGACACGCTGCTGATTAGGAGAGCGCCATGCTGTGCTAGGCTGCGGATTTGAGAGTAGAGGCATAGGGGAGGTAGAGAGTGGCGGAGGCCATACCTGCAGTCGGCGAGCTTACCTGGCGCCATAGCTGGGCTCCACGCGGTACCTGCACACGGCAACAGACACAGTCAGTACGGTGCCAGCGACCTGCAGGTGAGATAGCGAGGAGGACTTCTTCTCTCCCTCCTCCATCTCTCTCTCTCTCTCTCTCTCTCTCTCTCTCTCTCTCTCTCTCTCTCTCTCTCTCTCCTCTCCTCCCTCCTTCCTCCTTATCTCTTCTTCTTCGAATCTGAGAGTATGAGAGCTAATCAGAAGGGATTCAGGCAGAGGTTATGCTGGGCGCATTGCCCAGGATCTGATTCGACATTTCTGGGACAGACATTGATTGGACACTCGGCAAGGGACTCTTTTTTGGGATTTCGCTATTGAGATCTTGGTCTACTCCCTCGCCTCCTTCCTCTTCGTCTCGTCCCTCCCCCATCTCTCATCCGTGGTATCTCCCCATGTATGTGCGCGAGGAAGGGACCTTTATTCCATGCTTGCGGTCCCTCCTCCCTCTCTCACATGTGTGATTTGTGATGGATGTCGAGTCAGTCCAGATCAGATCACTGTGCCATTTTGTGCCATCCGTATGTATTTGGAATGTACATTGCTTGTTGATGCTACGCTGCCCTTGCATCGTGCATTTCAGTCCTTTTCGTCACATAGCGGATCCTTGGCTCCCTGCGCATTGTCCCACTGGACATGCGTCAGTTTTGGTATCGGAGCTACGCGTGTGAATCAGGACGACCTGATCTGACGCGAGCGCGGGACAATCCAAGATCGATTGGGTAAGTCATGATCGATCAATCGATTGATTGATCTTGGATTGGTTAATCGATCAGGATTGATTGATTGATTGTTTGATTGATTGATTAATCGTAGATTGATTGATTGATTGATCGTTGATTGATTGATTAGGTTACACTAATTAGTCCCCAAAATTGCAGATTTCGACCTAACTGCCAAAATCGAAATTTTCTCTCCTTGTTGGGTCTCGTTTTCCCGCTATTTCGTTTGTGGTAAATCGCAAAAACAGGGCATCTGAGAGTTTCGTTTTTTCTTTTGAAACCTGAAACTTCGTTGTTGGAGATCCGAAAGACTGAAACTTTCTGTTATTTTGAATTTCGCGAATTTGTTTTTTGAATCCATCATTTCGAAAAAAAATTTCTTGTTTCTGAAATTCGAAATTTCGAGGCAGAGAAGTCCGGAATTTTTTTTGAAAAGTTTCGATTTTATCCATGGTGACGTTTCGGATGTCCGGACCGAGTTCCAGACAGTCCGGAGTACAATGTTCGTGCGGACGTACGGTCCGGAGGGTCCGGAAGGTGCCAAATCCAGACTTTTTTTTTTTCAAAAACGGGTCGGCCTGGACCCTTCGTTGGGTCGAGGGCAACCCCAGAAAATTGGCCCTGGTATTTTTTCGACCCGTTGGGCCTCTGCAGACACGGCCGGATGCGCGCCTCTTAGGTTTTAGATTTTTTTTTTTTTGTTCACTGCAGTCTTGGTGTGGCCTCGATTTCGGGAGGAAACGAGGGCCTGTTCGTATCGAAAACCCTCCCGCCCGCCATTCGGCCGCTGGTACGCTGTCGAGACTCCCATTGCCCGCCATTCGCCCCGCTGGATGTTGACGTCGTCGTTGCAGCGCTTCCCCCATCGCCGTCGCCGTGGCTGCTCTGCACGTGGTCGCCGTCATCGAGCCAACGTTGCCATCAAACACACACACGCACACACACACACACACACACACACACACACACACAGAGAGAGAGAGAGAGAGACCAGCGCAGGGGTGGTCGGACATGGCCTTCAGGTAAGTGACAGCAGCGTATAGACCCCCTGTTCCTTACTTCCTGCCAGTTCTGTTTCTTTTTTTTTTTGTTTCTGTTATGCAGTGTTCTGTTTTTGTTTGTTGAGCTGAGTTTGGATCGGTGAAAACACGGAAAAGTTGGGCACATTTACGGAAGAATGTCACCCCCCTTGGCAATTTTTTTTTTTTTTTTTTTTTTTTTCCGGACCGTGTTTTTTTCCGGACCGTCCGCGTCCGCTTTGTTCGGAAGGTCCGGATCATGTCCGGAATTCCAGACGTCCGGACCGGTCCGGACGTGCGTCCGGTTTCGGGTACGGTCCGGTCTGGGTCCCGGTCCGGCGTAACCATGATTTTATCCCGTTATGAAAATTCCCGTTATTCCGAATTTTTATGAAATTCGTTTTTCAATTTATTCTGAAATTCGTTTTTCATTTCCGAAATTATTTCTGAAATTCGTTTTCCACTTCCGAATTTTTTTTCTGAAATTCGTTTTTCAATTTCGAAAATTTTCTGAAAATTTGTTTCTCAATTTCGAAAATTCCGAATTTTTTTCTGAAATTCGTTGTTTTTTGGGAATTCCTCTTGCAAGCGTTCGTTTTCAAACAGCGCATACTCTCACCTACGATATTTCGAATATTTTTTTTCTGTTCTCGGAATTTTCTGGACTTGCGGGAACCGAAAATTTTTTCTCTGTTTTCGCAGTCCTGTATCTCCATTTGACATTTTGATGCATTCGGCGTCTGAAATTCGAAATTTGTGGCTCTAACTGCTGAGGGGATATCTGGGGGGGGCTACTGAACTTGCAAATTCGAATTTTTTTGTCTTTCTCGAAATTGTTGCAAGTTCCCAGATTTTTTTTTTTTTTTTTTTGATTAGTGGCTCCATATCTGGTCGACCATCCGATTGCCCACCCCCCCCTTCTCTCCAGCTCAACCCTTCATCCCTTCTCCGTCCTTCTTAACTGCCCTTTCCCTGTCAGTTGCAGACCAGGTAAGTCCTCACTTCAGCAGGCCACGTCAGGCACGCGCAGGCCATGGCCATACTTACTCGCTCAAATACAGCCGAGATGGATCAGATGGCAGGCGAGACTGACGAGGCCTACGAGGCACGGCTGGCGGCCATCATGGCCGAAACCAAGCAGCGGGCAGACGCACCAGCAGCAGCATGGAAGAAGCGGGAACCAGAGGCAGAGAAACAGCGTCGTCTGGCTGAAGAACAGCGGCAGAAGCACGCGGCAGCAGTAGCCAAGGCAGCTGATGAAGAACGTGTGCGGCGACGCGAGACCACATTCAGGGAGGAGAATGCACTTCACGCACAGGCCAAGGATTGACAGAGGGAGGCCGAGAGCGGCGAATCCGTCGACAACGGGAGCAAGGTATCTCATCTGCTCAACCGTGTCACGGACCTCCTCACGACTTGCATTGCGCAGCAGGAGGATATTTACTCTCTCGACCACACCAACAAGGCGTTACAGCAGTCACTGGACCAGACGCTCAAGCGTGTTCAGCAGCTGGAGCAGCAGGTCGCTAACGCCAATGCCAGCGCCGGTCCCTCCGACCTCGCCGACCGCGTCAAAGTCCTTGAGATAGACATGGGGACACTCAAGGCCGGGGCGCAACAGCACGTCTGCGCCGCAGCCAGCTCCACCACGACGCCACGCGAGACCATTGTCAAGTTTGATGGGCTCCCGATCTTCTGTGACGCATCGAAGGACCGATCCCATTCAATGGTGGCGCCAGTTTGAACTCAAGCTGGACATCCACCACGTCATCGACGCGATCCGGCACGCCTATTTGTATTCCCGCTCGGGAGGCGCGTGTCAATCATGGCTGGACAATATGCTCTCCGCACAGGCATGTACAACCACGGAATTACATAAGTACATCACCTGGGCTGATCTCACGGCGGCATGGAAGAAGCGTTTCCAAGTGGAACCGTCGGAACACCAGGCGATGGACAAGTTGTTGACGTTCACGCAACACAACATGCCAAGCGGCGACTGGATATCTGAGTTCCAACGCCTGGCAAGCACTCCCAAGCTGCCGCTGAATTTCGACGACATCAAGCTCTATTTCATCAAGAGGTCGTGCCCGGCGTTGCAGAATGCGTTGACTCATGTCGCCGACACCCTCACTACAAGCGAGGAACTTTTCAACAAGGCCGCGCAGATCATCGTGACGAATTTGGCAGCCCGGAATACGGGCCCCTCGTCAAGTGCCGGCCAGGGCGCGAATCAGCATCGGCCGAAAGTGGCCGTGGTTGCAGTGGCAACAACTAGCGACCCTTCAACTTCACACGAGGCTGCTACGTCTGACGAGGGAGACAGTCTCACAACTGCCCCGAATGGTGGCCGCCCCGCCAAAGGACGAGGATGCGGCAAGCAGAAGACAAACACCAATACTTCTTCTGGGCCCGGGCAAGCAGCTCCCGCTCAAGGAACGCGGACAATGTTTGGTCTGACGGAACGCTGATATCACGTCCGCACGAAGTACTGCTATTGTTTGTGGTGCAACAGCTCAGCACATGAGACAACGAGCTGTCCCGCGTAGGCCAAGGGTACCGCCCAGTCGGGAAAGTGAGCACCGCCGAGAGTGTTGCGACATCACTCTCGACGCCTACGGAACCGGTTGCTGTACGAGTAACCGCCCTCGGTTCCGGGGCACATGCGGACGTCGTAAGGCCTCCCACTCTTCATACTTTTGAGGACTATGCTGCCCAGCTCGTACCTTCGCTGAATTCACGAGCCCAAGGACAGGATGTATGTGCGGTTTCTTCTCCGATCGGAAGCAGCAACATTGAGTCGTCTTCAAGTGGACCTTCACGGGATTCGGCGAGCGCGTTCAACATAGAGGACTCGGACCCATTGACGCCCGAGGATTTTGCATGGCTTCCTCTCCCTTCCACCGGCTGCTTACCGGAGCCGCAATGCGCAGCCCTTAGCGCTCATCTCCATGCATACCTAGCCTTCTATGCACCACCAACTTCGCCGACGGAGGACGAAGTCGCGGTGGGGGATATTCTTGCGTATGTGAGCAAGGTGGCCCGCGAGTTTCGCACGCAGCGGTTCGACGACAACAACGCACCGCTCCTTCATGTCCGCATCCAAATCGGGCAAGCGTCCTGCAGCGCTTTGCTGGATAGCGGCGCGACTCGCAATTTCATTAGCCAGTCCTTCATGCAAAGGGCCGGCCTTGGACCACAAGTTCGAAGAAAGGCACACCCTACGTCGATCAAGTTGGCGGACGGAAGAACGCAAAACTCCTTGATCGCTACATCGAAGCCGTCCTGGTTTATTTCGCACCTCATGCATGCGAACTGGTGACGTTTGACGTCTTGGACACGAACTTCGACATCATTCTTGGCATGCCTTGGCTTGCAAATGCGGATCACACGGTCAACTTCCATCGGCGGACACTTACGGTTCRCGACGCGTTTGGCGCCGAAGTACCATGTACCATTCCTCTCCCGCACCCTTCGATACGGTGCCAAGTTGTAACAGCCAAATCTTTTCGGGCCACCTGCACTTACGAGCGGACTGAAGAGATGGGCTTATGTTTTCTTCGAATCGTCGCGGTACCCGACTCTCAACCCACGAACTTGTGTTCAGACCCCCAGGTGGTGCGGTTGCTCGATGAATTCGCCGACGTCTTCGAGTCACCTACCGGCGTGGTGCCGGATCGGCCGATCTCGCACGAGATCATTCTCGAGGCCGGTGTCGTGCCACCGAAAGGTTGCATCTATCGCTTGAGCGAGGAGGAACTTACAGTACTCCGCGCGCACCTCGACGACTTGTTGGACAAAGGCTGGATCCGGACTAGCAGCTCACCCTATGGTGTGCCGGTTCTCTTCGTTCGGAAGAAGAACAAGGACCTTCGCCTATGCATCGACTACCTCAAGCTCAATGCGCAAACCGTCAAGAACGCGGGATCGCTTCCTCGTATTGGCGACCTTCTGGAGCGCTTGGGCGGCGCAATTTTTTTTTCCAAACTGGATTTGAAGTTGGGATATCATCAGATATCGATTCGGTCGCAAGATCGCTACAAGACCACATTCAAGACACGGTACGGGCACTTCGAGTGGGTCATCATGCCTTTTGGACTCACCAATGCCCCGGTGACTTTTCAAGCGGCGATGACCAACGAGTTCCGTGCAGTGTTGGACTGGTTCGTGCTGGTCTACTTGGACGACATCCTCGTCTATAGCCGGACCTTGGAGGAACATCTTGATCATCTTCGACGAGTGTTGGAGACACTCCGGCATGCCAAGTTCAAAGCCAACCACGACAAGTGCGAATTCGTACGCCAAGAGTTGGAATACTTGGGCCATTTCGTCACTCCACAAGGCATTAGTCCCTTGTCGGACAAGATTCAAGCCGTCCAAGATTGGCCGGAACCGCGGAACGTCACGGATGTTCGATCATTCCTTGGCCTTGTCGGCTACTACCAACGTTTCATCAAAGGGTACTCGAAGATCGTGGCCCCCTTAACCAAGCTTCAATGCGAGGATCGATCGTTTGACTTCGGAACGGATGCGCGGGGATCATTCTTGGCCCTCAAGGCCGCATTGCTCTCCGCGGAGATATTGCGGATATACGACTCGCTATTGCCAACGCGTGTCACTACGAACGCGTCCGGCTATGGCATTGGTGCCGTCCTCGAACAACATGACAGCGTGGATTGGCACCCGGTCGAATACTTCAGCAAGAAAGTGTCGGTCGTGCACTCAATCGATGATGCACACAAGAAGGAACTTCTCGTCTTCGTCCACGCACTCAAGCGGTGGCGACACTTCCTCCTTGGCTGACGCCAGTTCCGATGGGTAACAGACAACAATCCGTTGGTCTTCTACAAGTCTCAAGACACCGTCAACAGCACCATCGCCCGTTGGAAGGCCTTCATCGACCAATTCGACTTCTTTCCCGATCACATTTCGGGGAAGTCGAACCGTTTTGCGGATGCCATTTTGCGGTGTCCGGACCACTGCACCGCGGTCTACTCAACCTTCGAGATCGAGGACGACTTGCGGGACAGCTTCATCCGCGGCTATCAAGCCGACCCCGAGTTTCGCGACAAGTACGCGAATTGTTCCTCTCCCAATCCGGCGCCTTCGCACTATCGGATCGAAGAGGGATACTTGCTTCTTCACTCGTGGGGGAAGGATCTCCTTTGTGTGCCGCAAGATTCACATTTGCGCACCCGGCTTCTTGGCGAGTTCCACGACGCCCCCGCCACCGGACACTTTGGAGTCAATCGCATGATTGGCCGACTACGGGAGTGCTTTTGGTGGCCCGGTCTCCTTGACAACGTCACGGGCTATTGCGAGTCATGCGAAGTTTGCCGACGTTGCACATCTCGCAATCATCGTCCGTATGGCGAACTGCGACCATTACCGGTCCCCGTGCGCCGAAGGGAAGCAATTGCCATGCATATCACCGGGCCATTCCCCAAGCACAAGACGGGCGTCGATGGGATTCTCACGGTGGTTGACCGCCTCACCAAGTTTGCCATGTTCTTGCCTTGCCGCTATCACGCCAAGGCACCGGAGTTGGCCGAGGTTCTCTACGCCGGTTTGATTCGAACCAAGGGTTACCCGAAGGAAATCGTCTGCGACCGCGACACTCGATTCATGTCCGATTTTTGGTTGGCGCTCATCAAGCGATGGGGCTCGTCCCTCAAGCCAAGTTTGGCTCGCCACCCCCAAACGGATGGCCAAACGGAGAGGGCACATCAGACCGCACAGGTCCTTTTTCAAACTCTCATCCGTCCCGACCAAAAGGATTGGGTCGAGCGGCTCTCGGATGTCGAGTTGGCATACAACTCGTCCATATCGGGATGCCGCCTTTCGAATTCGAGCATGGCTCGCCGGTGAACTCTCCGGTGGACACAATCATTCCACGGACGACCGAGAGCGACGACCGAGAGCAAGGCACGTGACCAAATGTCAAAGACGGAGCAATGTGTGCGCCAACAGGTCAACCGCCAACGTCTTTCTTGTCCGTTCCGCGCCGACGATCTCGTATGGGTTTCCACTGCGGAATTCAGCCTCAAACAAGATATCTCTCGCAAGCTCCTTCCGAAATGGATGGGGCCCTGGCCGATCGTGGCACCCGTCGGAGACGCACCCGAAGGCCCTTCATTTATCATTCAGGTGCCCATCCACGTGCCCGTCAACCTTGTTTTTCACTGTTCCAAGATGGCTCTCTACACACCAGCAGAATTTGATGACTTCCCTGGGCGATGATCGCAAGACCCGCCCTCAATGGACGGCTTCCAAGAGATCGGCAACATCATATCCCACCGACTGCATGGCCACAAGCCAATACAGTTCTTGGTTCACTTTGCATTCTGCACCCATAGAGCTGACCGATGGCTGACCCGTGCGGAACTTCAAGCACCGGCTCCCAATGCTCTCGCACGCTAGGAGCAAAAGTTGAAGGACAAGCCGGCATCTTCGGCTCCACGCCACACCTGCGTCCAAGTACCACCTTCAGATCGTCAGCTTCGGCCCCGATCGGCTTGACTTCATGAGGAGAGGGGGTTGTTGCATGCTGCGCCTGCACACGGGCCCCATTTGAGGGGCCCGACGGTTGCTGAAGGGCCCCCAAGCCGCGTACCATCCAACACACGCCTTGGAGGCCCACGATGGCCCTCCAGGCCCTAGCCAGCACACTAGGTAGATAGGCTGTAGTTTTACTTACCGTTTTTTTGGTGTGTGTGTGCTGTCTTATTTTTGTCTGTTCAGGTGCCGTTTCGGACTTGCAGCCCCAAGGCCGGACCTTGGAATTGGGTACACCGGAGGCAGGCCCGAAACGAGGCCAGGCGCGTTTTGGCGCCAAACCAACAGGTACCAGCGTCGTTTTGGTCCTGCAGGACCCAAGACAGCACCTTGGGCCAGGTGCACCGGTAGAAGGCCGTTTTTAGGCCAGGCGCATTTCTGTGCCATGCTGCAGCAGCAGCAAGGTCTGGACGTCCTGTAGGGACCCAGACCACCTGGGCCGTTTTAGGCCACACAGCACCAGGTAGGCCCGGCCGCCCAGCGCTACAAATAGCTGGGCAGCGGCTGGGCCAGGGACAGTTCGGGTAGCCCACTTCTGGGCGACACGCTGCTGATTAGGAGAGCGCCATGCTGTGCTAGGCTGCGGATTTGAGAGTAGAGGCATAGGGGAGGTAGAGAGTGGCGGAGGCCATACCTGCAGTCGGCGAGCTTACCTGGCGCCATAGCTGGGCTCCACGCGGTACCTGCACACGGCAACAGACACAGTCAGTACGGTGGCAGCGACCTGCAGGTGAGATAGCGAGGAGGACTTCTTCTCTCCCTCCTCCATCTCTCTCTCTCTCTCTCTCCTCCTCCCTCATTCCTCCTTATCTCTTCTTCTTCGAATCTGAGAGTGTGAGAGGTAATCAGTAGGGATTCAGGCAGAGGTTATGTTGGGCGCATTGCCCAGGATCTGATTCGACATTTCTGGGATAGACATTGATTGGACACTTGGCAAGGGACTGTTTTTTGGGACTTCGCTATTGCGATCTTGGTCTACTCCCTCGCCTCCTTCCTCTTCGTCTCGTCCCTTCTACATCTCTCATCCATGGTATCTCCCCATGTATGTGCGCGAGGAAGGGACCTTTCTTCCATGCTTGCGGTCCCTCCTTCCTCTCTCACATGTGTGATGTGTGATGGATGTCGGGTCAGTCCAGATCAGATCAGATCCTCTCTTTAAGTCTTCCGCTGTGCCATTTTGTGTCATCGGTATGTATTCGGAACGTACATTGCTTGTTGGTGCTACGGTGACCTTGCATTGTCCATTTCAGTCCTTTTCATCACCTAGGGGATCCTTGGCTTCCTCCGCATTGTCCCACTGGACATGCGTCACGTGTCAATGCTGAGGTGGCCTGCTGAGGTGGCCTGCTGTTGTGGCTACTTACTAATGTCGCAGCAGGGAGAACCAAAAGACGGACGGAGGAGAGTAGAAGAGGGATGCAGCAGCATAGACGGGGAGGGTGGGAGTAATCGCGCCCAGATAAGGAGCTACTAATCAAAAATGAAAAGTTGGAAGTTTGCGTAATTTGATAATAATTACGAGAAGCACGTCAGCTTGCGAACTTTGCATAATAATTCCTCACCACAGCCCGCTCTTAAGCATTTCGGGGCCTTTCATCAAGCATGGCTGCCCTCAGTGAAGGCGGCCTTGTAAAATCACATGAGGCCTATTTTGTCCTTTTTGGCAAAGCGGGGCTCAGACAATTACGCTGCGTCAGTTGGTTGGATGGACCCAGGCCGTGGGTAACAGTATCCGATCGAGGGCTTCTAGGCCCTTCCTGAGTTCTCTGGAAACAGGCCCTGGTTCAGACACGAGGCACAAACTGCATGCAGCACGCACGGCAGTTGGACACGCATAACCACCCGGGAGCCTGTGGAATATGTTGGCCTCAGGCCACTTGGGGCCTACCGGAAGCTTTGGGCAGGGGCCCAATGCAGCCAGGCAGCATGCAGCTGCCAGGCCACTTCCATAAAGGAAAGTGCCTGCCTCCTCATTTGGCATTCGGGCACTCGCTGCTTATGCGCAAGCGCTGCTGCGCCAACTGCTGAAGCGGTGCCTACGTGCTCATGGGCGAGCAGGGAAGAAGCAGGCAGCTATTGCCAAGCTGGCCTGCGCGTTGCTGGATGGTGCGCATTGTGGTCTTCGGGTGCATGTTGCATCTGTGTGGAGGATCGAGGTTGTGAGTGAAGTGAGGGAAATACCTGATGCTTGATGCGGACGACATCGGCCGAGATCTGCTCGTACTTCGGGAAGTTGTTGACGTCACCAGCGACATTGTAGATAGGCTAGATTATATTTGCCATTTGTAGCCTGGGCGCTGAGGGAATCGGCATTGGTTGATTGGTGATGATGAAGAGACTATTTGAACATTGTCATTTGTGAGCTTTGTTGTGCTCATATTTGGTGTAACTCGAGTTGCAATTCTGCGTTTGGTTCGAGGTCGAGACTATCTGGTTTCATGTGTATGATGCGGCTTGGTTTCTGAATTTCGCTATCCTTGCATTTTGGTATCAGAGCTGTGGTATGTTGCACTCATCCGGCACTTGTCTTCTCCATATGCGGTGCATGCACGCGGTTAGCTGGGTGAGCGACCGTGGGTAGGGTGCAGTGAGGAGGGCAAAGGCGAGCAGGCGACTCGGGAGGAGAGGGGTATCGCTAAGAAGGCTGTGTAGTGATATTGGGTGTTTCGCAGTGTGATGAGAACTATCTGATGTGTGATTGATGCTGAGGTGGAACGACGGTATAATGCTGGTTGTGTCGAGGCAAGATTGGTCATCGCAGTTGACGTTAAACCACCAGTACTTGGGCACTGCGCGCCGCGCCGGCCGCCCAAATCTCGAAGCAGCGCGGGCTGTCGATTCGATTTATTGACACTCCGCCGGCCGCGGAAATCGCGTAGCGTTAACGCTAAGGCGTCGCCCAAGTACTGGTGGTTTAAGTCATCTGGTGAGAATATCCGTCGTTGGGGGCAGCTATATGGAGGTAAGTTGCTCTTAACCTTATCTACCCTCTTCGACACTTCTTACATGAGGATGTGTGTTTTGTCTTGAGAGTCCTCTCATGTGAGGAGTCGAGTGCGCTCAACCTTGAGTGTTGGCATTGTTCACGTGGAGCATCTGGAAGGAGAGGGCGTTGCCATTTGAAGGGCCTTGGAAGAAGCACTGGGTCACGGTCACCATGCCAACCCACCGGGAGCAGAGCATGCATGCTCTGCCGCTTTGTCCTTTGTGTGCCTGTTGCGCTATAGATAGGTCGTGAGGGGCAGGCCAGCCCTACTGGGGAGACGAGAACTGGATGTCTATAAATAAATACTAGTGGGTTACCTATCATTGGTTGTGATCGTCGTCCTATCTGCGACGTTAAAAAATTCCTGAGGACCTCGGGGGCCTTCCTTAAGCTGCCTCTTGATCAACCAAATTGTCAGTGTAAGGCGTGCTGCACGTGAGGATAAATATGGTGCAGGGCTGGTCAGCTCAACATTGACTTGGGGCTCAGGGGTGGGCCGTGCACACCTTTAGACACCAGTGCCATCTGGATTGCTTAGGAAGGCTGACGTCAAGTGACATCAAGAAGAACTGAGGGAGGGGTAGATTTCAGGTGATAAGTTCGGGAACAATTCCACTTTGCAAACAGCCACACAAATTGATTAGTTAGATGTTATTGCTATTAACACATCTGACGGACAACATAGGTAGAACTATCTGTTTTTTCGTATTTGCTTTCTGTTTGTAGACTAGTCAAATAAAATAGTTTCGTTTGTAGGAATCTGGACTTACCTGATGGACCCTGCTGTGTATCAACTGATAATGCTACCGATTAATTATTTTTACTTATTTTAAATCGGTTTGACCACTACGCTGTTGTAGGCAACCGAGTGTGTCCTAGTGCAAACAGTGTACAGTGCTGTAGCATATGAGCGACAGAGAGTACCCTCCGAACGATCGGATCTTGTGCTCGTCAAGCTGCAGACTCCCGTTGGTCCAGGTAGCTTCAGGAGCCAAGGGAAACCGCCTCCTGTTCAGACTGGCTAGGGAAAGGCAGCGTCAGCAGAGGAGGGACAGGGATGCAGAGGCAAGCAGGGCTTTTGCAAGAGGCAGCTGTCTCAACAGCCGTCATCGCCACTTCTGCACAACAAGGCTCTCAAGGGAGTAATTCTGGCATGCAGCAGAGTTCCCAGTATAGAAGTTCAGGGGCTGTTGGTTCAACGATCGCACAGATGCAAAGTCAGTCCGCTGGTGTGATGGCTAGCCAGCAATTAGTGTTAACTCCTGAGGAGGTCGCCATTCAGCGGGCCAGCACTCGCGAAGCACAGCTACAACATGCATTAGATGAGATACAAGCAGAGAAGGAGAGTGATTAGACGATGAGCGATGATGCAGTAGAGAGAAGCGGACATGCAAGAGTTAGAGGAGATGGAACTGACACATATGGATGATGATGTAAATACCGTTAGGAGGGCCCTGCTAGATATGGTAGAGATGCAGGACTACCATACAAATCTTTTGCAAGACATTCAGAGAAGTCTGGTCGGGTGGGTTCAGGTCTCACCTTTACCATGTGGGCTAGGTGCTTGGCCTGTGGTACATCCTCCTCCCATTGTCCTACCGGTAACTAGGGTAAGGCAATCGATAGACGTCGTGGAGGTTCCCGGTCAAAGAGTCAAGTAAACCGCAATGCTCCTCCATGGGAGAAAGCGGGGCTTACTGAGGACGTGTGGAGAGATCGGTACGCCCGAGCAGCTTGCATTCGTTGTGGCCAATATGGCCATACTCTGTTCAAGTGTTAGAACCATAAGGTCACGGAAAAGATCCCGCCTACGAAAAGACCTCCTACACTTCCCAAGGTAGCAACGTTGCCAACACGTCTGGCAAACACGTCGGGCCATTAGGAATTGTAGTTGTTCCTGCTAGGGTCAAGATGATGGATACACCCTCACCTTCTCGAGAGATGGCCCAAGCTATTGACTCTGACGTTGTTCCGCGAGCACATTCAGACCAATCAATACTCTGCTTGATGAATGTGTTCGAATCCTTAGAGGAGTTAGAGGAGTGGTCTAGACCTGCTCGATAGCTTCTTCGACGGTCCTGGCTAAAGTTCCTAAGGGTGAGTTGTTTGTCAGCGAGGTGGTTATAGGCAGTCGTAAGGCCAAGGCCTTCTACAATACATGGTCGACGAGGAACTTTATCAACGTACTTGTGTTGATCAGCTGTGCTTACAGGGGCAAGTGCAGCACTTCAGTCCACTTGTGCCAACAAACAGCGCATAGTAGTTGATGACTACCTAAAAGATGTTGAATGTTGTTTCCCGTACGCGGGAGGGGAACTGAGACGTAAAATCTCGTTCCTCGTCAGCGGTGATTTCCCTATGGATATCTTGCTTGGTATGTACTACCTTTCGGTTGCACAACCCCAGTTTGACTGGGACCGAAACGTGGTCAAACACACGCTGCCAGGTCGAGGGACTGCGAGATTGTGTAACCATAAAGCTAGTAGTCCGATAGAGTCCTATGGGTGCATGTGTGCGGCCGCATTCTATAATTATTATAAGCGAAATCCGGAAGAGGATATGTACTTAGTGTATGTCTCTGCAAAGGGTGAGCCGGTGAAAATGCCTCCAGAGATAGAGGGAGTGGTCGCTAAATTTCCGGATCTAGTGGACCTCTGGTTGGCCTGTGAGACCAGCCCCTTGGCTTGTTCTCACATGCCTGTGTTGTATTCGGGGTAGTCCAGTCCAGGCCCGTACCTCTGTCGGTACCAACCAGTCCAGTCCAATCCAGTCAGTTCGCTGGGGTATACCCCAGCCAACGTCTGTACTTTGGGTCATTCTACGACACAGTTTGGAGTGCTTGTGTTGGAGTCCCACGTGGGAGCTGCGCTGTGCCATCTTGCTCCACTCTCATCCTCCATCTCCATCTCTATCCCAGGCGGAGCACCACACTTGGTGGGTCCGCCACAGTCGTTGAGAGGGAGGTCGTCCATATGATATAGATTATCCCAAGGTCTAGTATTTCGAAGGGTAAGATCTATCGGATGTCTGTAGCGGAGCTTGATGAGCTCGCCAACAACTGAAGAAGGGAACGTTGCGGATGTGCATTGACTATAGGGGCCTCAATGCCATCACTGTGAAAAACGCAGAGCCCCGACCACGCATCGATGACTTATTGGACCGAGTCCAAGGGTGCCGGTACTTCAGTAAGATAGATCTAAAGTCCGGGTACCATCAGATTGCAATTCGGCCCGAGGATCAACACAAAACCGCTTTTCAAACCAGATATGGTATGTACGAGTTTGTGGTGATGCCTTTCGGCCTTTGCAATGCTCCTGGCACCTTTCAGCACGCGATGAACAGGATCTTTCGTGACTACTTAGATAAGTTTGTCATCGTGCACCTCGATGACATACTTATTTTTGCTAGGACTGTTGAGGAGCATGTAGCCCATTTAGATAAAGTACTCAGTTCCCTTCGGCAACACCAATTCAAGATTAACCAAGAGAAGTGCGAGTTTGACCGCAAGCGGATCTTGTACCTGGGAGGGATTGATGCCCAATGACGCGAAGGTGGCCTGCATTCGTGACTGGCTGCATCCTCGGTCTGTGATTGAGGTGAGGTCTTTCTTGGGTATGACTGGCAACTACACAATTTTTTGCAGAACTATAGCATGGTGGTCGTGCCCTTGTGGGATCTCACACCCCATGGGAGTGGACAAACAGGTGTGAGGCTACTTTCAGACATATGAAGCATGTCCTCACTCACCATGAGGTCTTGAAGCTGCTCGATCCTGACAAACCATTCATCGTGACCACAGATGCCAGCCAATATGGCATTGGAGTCGTGCTTGCGCAGCAGGAGGGAAAAAAGTTGAGCCCTGGAGAGTACATGTCTAAAAAGATGCCCTCTCATAAGTTGGCTAAGTCCACCTATGAGAAAGAACTTTTGATTTACAAAGCGCTGATTCACTGGAGGCACTATCTCCTTGGGCGATTCTTCTACGTCAGGACTGATCATCAAAGCCTGAGGTGGATGAAGACCCAACCGGTACTCTCAGATTCTTTGAAGCGTTGGATCGAGGGCATAGAGCAGTATGACTTCGGGTATATGAAAGGGAAGTACAACAAGGTTGCTGATGCACTGTCGTGTAGACCAGACTTCCTTGGGGCGCTGGTTACTGAGTTTGGGCTTGCGGAAGATGTGACTCAATCCTTGGTGGAAGCCTATCGCGAGGATCCGTTCATGGCTGAGATCATACACAGACTCGAGGCAAAGGACAAGACCACGTCCGATGAGTTTGTGTTGGTCAATGGTCGGCTGTTCCTTGAGAAGGCAGGGAATAAACGTCAATGTGTACCCAATAGAGAGTCTTTGCGTAGTTTCTCTCTCGGAGAGTGTCATGACGCCACCAGACATTTTGGGTATAGGAAGATTGCAGCTAACCTGTTGCAGCGTTTCTCGTGGCCCACGATGATGAAAGATGCCAAACTGTATGTCGAGACTTGCCAAGTCTGTCAACGCGACAAGCCTCGGACACAGGCTCCTTTTAGGCTACTCAAGCCCCTTTTGATTCCGGAGAGGCGCGGTGAAATCCTTTCCATGGATTTCATGGATACGCTGGTCACCAGCAAGAGTGGTATGAAGTATGTCTACGTCATTGTGGATAGGTTTAGTAAGTACGCTAGGTTAGTAGCTATGCTGGAACCAGCAAAGACGGAATACGTCATCAAGTTATTTAAGGAAAGCTAGGTCAGAGACTTCGGCTTGCCTAAGTCTATAGTCAGCGACCAGGATGTCTGATTTACCGGCGATTTGTGGAAGGTTACAGCTGTCGAACAAGGAACGCAACTGCATATGACCTCGGGGAATCACCCAGAGGCAAACGGACAGGTTGAGCAAATGAACCGCACTGTAGAGCACCTGCTGAGGCATTACATTAAGCCTAATCAGGTGGACTAGGATGAGAAGCTTGCTGTCATCTGCAGTTTGCACAATAACGCAATTCACAGTGCAACCGGGGTCAGTCCTAACAGCCTGCTACTAATGTTCAAGCCTAGACTCCCTCTAGACTTCCTGCTACCTGAAAACGAGCCCACTGCTGCTCCAGGCACTCTCGAATTTGCTTATCGGCGGTATGAGAATCTCATGCAGCAAGCAGTGGATAACATGCATAAAACACAGGCGGCAATGCTAGAATCTGATAACAAGCACCGCCGCCCTACGTTTCAGGTTGGCAATAGAGTATGGGTGAAGGCCTCTAAACTGGGACAGGAGTACGGAATTTCCGCAAACTCATGCCACAGTATTTTGGACCGTGGGAGATTGTGGATGTTGTTGGGGATGATCCCGATGGGCCTTCCTATGTAATGCAAATCCCTGGTCACCTTCGCACTCACCCTGTTTTCCATGCCTCCAAACTCGCACCGTTCAAAGAGACCAATCAATTTCCTTCGCGTCGGTCAATGCTGCCCCCAACCATGGATGGAGAAGTCAACATTGACAGCATTGTGGACCACCCAGAGATGTCGATGCCGAAACCTCCTGGCCGGGGAAGACCTCCGAAGCCGAAGTTGCAGTTTCGTGTACGATTCAGACACCACACGGACCCAAAGGAAGACACGTGGTTTACAAGGGAGGAACTGATGCAGACTGAGACTGCTCCTTAGATTGTCACTCAGTGTGAGAAGTTAATGCACAAAAGGAAAGCGCCAGATTGAATGATTGAACTTCTCAAAGGACTATCGAAGTATGGAGGAGGGAATACGAGGCCACAGCCCGCTCTGAGCATTTCGGGGCCTTTCATCAAGCATGGCAGCCCTAAGTGAAGGTGGCCTTGTAAGATCACATGAGGCCTATTTTGTCCTTTTTTGCAAAGTGGGGCTCATACAGTTACATTGCCTCAGTTGGTTGGATGGACCCAAGCCGTGGGTAACAGTATCCGGTCGAGGGCTTCTAGGCCCTTCTTGAGTTCTCTGGAAACAGGCCCTGGGCCAGACTCGAGGCACAAACTGCATCCAACACGCACAGCAGTTGGACACGCGTAACCACTCGGGGCCCTGCGGAATATGCTTGCCTCAGGCCACTTGGGGCCTACCGGAAGCTTCTGGGCAGGGGCCCAGTGCAGCCAAGCAGCACCCAGCTGGCAGGCCACTTCCATAAAGGAAAGTGCCTGCCTCCGTATTTGGCATTCGGGCACTCACTGCTTATGCGCAAGCGATGCTGTGCCAGCTGCTGAAGCGAGTGCCTACACGCTCACGGGCGAGCAGGGAAGAAGCAGGCAGCCATAGCCAAGCTGGCCTGCGCGTTGTTGGATGGGGCACATGGTGGTCTTCGTCTGCATGTGGCATCTGTGTGGAGGATCGAGGTTGTGAGTGAAGTGAGGGACATACCTGATGCTTGATGCGAATGGCATTGGCCGAGATCTGCTCGTACTTCGGGAAGCTGATGACGTCACCAGCGGCATTGTAGATAGGCTAGATATGATATGCCATTTGTAGTCTGGGCGCTGAGCGCCAGATAGGGAACATTTGAAGAGACTATTCCAACATTGTGATTTGTGAGCTTTGCTGTGCTTTTATTTGGTGTATTTTAAGTTGCAATTTTGCTTTTGGTTTGAGGTCAAAACTATCTGGTTTCATGTGGCATAGTGCGCACGGGCTTGCAGGGCCCGACCAGGCAGAATAAGGGCCCTCCAGGCCCTGTGTCGTTTTAATCGACATTTGAAGAGACTATTCCAACATTGTGATTTGTGAGCTTTGCTGTGCTTTTATTTGGTGTAACTTAAGCTGCAATTCTGGTTTTGGTTTGAGGTCAAAACTATCTGGTTTCATGTGGCATATACTGCGCACGGGCTTGCAGGGCCCGACCAGGAAGAATAAGGGCCCTCAAGGTCCTGTGTCGTTTCAGCCTAAACGCCTAGAAAGGAGGGCTATTTTCAGGCCCTCGTAAAGTCGACCTTTCCTGAAACTTAGGCGCCAGACCAATCAGCACAGGCCACTTTTAGGCCCGTTTCAAGACAACCTTTTTTTTTAACTTAGCGCCAGGGTTTGGCACGAGTCGGCATTAGCAAGAGCAGCCTCCCAGCCGGACCAGCTCTATATAGTACTGGTCCGCCCTGCAGGCTGCAGGCAGTTCAGGAGGCAGGGGCGGTAATTGCACCATCCGCCCGACAACGATGGCAGCACCAGCGCATCACAGCAGTACAAGATGTCCACGTTCCAGATTAAGAAGTTTGATGACTATACGCATCAAGACCCGGTCCCTTGGTGGCAAGTCTTTACGATGGTGTCAAGCGCATCGATCCTTCACCACGCAGGGGGGGACTCTCGCGGCCGCGTCACGCAGGAGCTGATCTGTTGCCTCGTCTCGATACACATGGAGCACAAGCTGCTTCGACCGAGTGCCAGCCATACCTCTCGCGAGCCCCTGCGACAGGATAGGGCCAACGTGAGGCACGACTTACCTCCACCTTACGGGAGTTGTCACCTCCCTTCGGTTGGCGTATCCCCTCCGAGCTACTAGTCCACAGTACAAAAGCTAATTTGTTGCAATCGCAGAGGTGGACCAGCCGAGGGCGTTCTCGTCCGCCGTAGCATAGGGGGTACGAGCGGTTTTACTCCTCTATTGGACCCGCACGAGAACCGATGCACTGGGGGCGGAAGTCCCAAGCGCGGCTTAAGGTTGGTCGACTAGGACGTATCCCACGCACCACACGTACACCACTCTAAGAACATGAGAATTTCAAACACAGAAACACACACACACACACACACACACACACACACACACACACACACACACACACACACAACGACACAAACAAAACAACGCACACAATCCTTGTCCCTTCAGTAGTCATCCCATAACTCTGCGATGCGGAAATCAGATAGGCGGGGCGCGCGAGATTTAGTATAAAACCGTGTGGACGTAGGGGCTTTCCCATATCTTCTAGCTATGCATGAATACACAAGCAGTCGCAATGATGGCGTACTATGTAGTGCCCAGAATCAAGCGGTTCCTAGTGGATCCGAGTATCACTTATGACGCTTAAGTGTCAAACTCGAAGTATCGTGAAGATCAACCTCTTCATGATATTGGACGGCTGAAGGAACAGCCGTGCTGCCTCCGCGGCACCTCCAACCTTTAGGCTGAGTGTCACGGTGGGCAGGGCAAATAGGCTTTGCACGGGGGGTGATCCCTTCCATGCAGAGTCTAGGACCTGGGATGTCCTGGAGAAGGACCTCGAATCTAGGCCCAGGACCAACGTCCGACTAAGAAATCTTTAAGAAGTAAACAACAGTAAAGGGAGGGAATTTCCCTTCCTTTCTCAATCTCGACCCCAATCAAACCCTTAAGCGTGGGCTCCTTATGCCACGCGAAACATACAAACATAGGTATGTGCATATATATATGCATTGGGGGATAAATATGTGACGATCACTTCTCACAGTCACAGTGGGACTCCTCTCAGCCATATACATGTATGTGATCGTAGGCAGTCAAATCCGAAGTCCGAACCACAAAACATACCTGCAATCAGATCAAGGATTCAACAAAAAGTCCACGCACTACACGGGGTCAACTTCAACCAATCTCTTCACTCATACTCCTCGCTTTAGCCATGCAAGCCCCAACCTTTGTCCAACCTTCCGTAATTAAATATTTAGTACCTTTGTTAAATGGCCATTCAATAAAAGTCAGGGTGAAACCCTTGACAAAACAATAAAAACCACCAGGGCTAAAACCTTTTAGGTTGAGTATTGAGAATGGGTTGGAGTTGAGTCGTGGACCGACGAATCCGCAACCGACCTGTTATCTGTGATAACAAAAGATGATCTTTGTGGGATCAAGCTGAATCTATTCCAGATCCTGAATCGATCGATCAAGAGGACCTATAACACAAGACAGGCCAATCCCCAAGCTAATTTTACAAGTTCATGGAGAAAAAGCTTCATATCATGATCTCACAAAAAATCGATCTACGTAACTAAGCCTGAGTCTACCCCTAAGCAAGTGCCCAAAGAAAGGTAGACCCTTGCAGAATCTCCTCTATACAGAGTGAATCGCCAGAATCGCCACCGTAAGAAAATTTTGGCAGCGCTTCCTGTAGGAAAAGTATCTTTTCGGAATTCATTCTAGCCCGAATATGAAAACAGGAATAATCTCTAACTTTAGAAAGTCAGATTTTGTCAAACTCCCTGAATTAGTAAAAATTTGGGCAGCATTTCCTTTAGAAAAGTAGCCTTCCCATATTTATACTAAGTCAGATAAGAACTCTAAAGTATAACTTGAGTTCAGCGAAGACACAATTTAACTAACTCCTTAGTTTTGTAGAAATTTCGGCAGCGCTTCCCGTAGATAAAGTAGCTTTCCAAAATTTATACAAAGCTAAGTATAAATCTAGAAGATTTTTACTAAGCCATATATAAAATTTAGACAAAATTAAATTTTGAAGAGTCAAAATATGATTAACTCCTTGGTTTCGTAGAAATTTCGGCAGCGCTTCCCGTAGAGAAAGTGGCTTACCAAGATTTATATAAGACCAAGTATAACAAATGATTCCAGAAAATGCGAGAATTGACCTAAGTAAAAGAAAGTTAGCTCAGAAAAAATGCAGAAATTGAACTAACTCCTATCGCTCTAGCACATGGCGAGCAACTAAAGCAACTACCTGCGTAACGAGCGGGAGGTTGAGGGAGAGCTGAGGGAGAGGAGAGAGAGAGGGAGAGAGTGAGAGCACACACACACACTCACTCACTCGACACGACTGAGGGTCGGACGCAGACACAGTGGCCAAGGCACAAAGTCGAAGTCTTGGATTCTTGAAATGCTGAAACAGCAAGTCACCCTGCGTACGAGTACAGCGGCTGGAAACTGGTACGAGACTGGTCAGTGTACCGTACGGGGAGCCGATATAAGTATCGGTGACACGTACGGTACCAGGGGCAGTTTTGCAAAGGCCCCGAGGGAAGAACTTAAAAATGCGGTATTTGAAAGTGGCGCCTGAATTGCAACATGGCGCCAGTTGTCCAAAATCCTATGGTACCAAAGGAGGGGTTTGGAAAAAGGTGCCAGGTCGAAAACGGGATGCAACCGAAACAACAAAAGATAGACCAGGGATTGAGCCCTGGCGGAGTCCGTAACACTATCCCCTTCCTTTAGAAGGCAACGCCCCGGCTGCCAAAAATCATGAAGCAATGCTAAAATCTGTGAAGGACGGGACGGGGCCGATCACTGGTTAACAAGTCGAAAGGGAAGAGGGGTATAATGTGGGTGGCATGGGCTGCGGGAGTAAGAGGGAACAGGGTTTGGTACCGGTGAACATAGTTGTCCTACTGATGAACTAGGGGGGGTTGCAGGGAACAGGGTAGTCCAACGAATGAACGAAAGGGACGACAGGGAGCAAGGTAGTCCTACTGATGAACTAAGGGGACTGCATGGTTTGCTATAGGTTAAGGGGGAACAAAGTTCAGGGAACAGGGAACTTCTATTGATGTTCTACTGGGTAAGGGAGTCGGTGTTCAGGAAAACAGGGTATTTCTATTGATGTTCTAATGGGTAAGGGGAACAATGCTCAAGGGAACAGGGGATGTCTATTGATGTTCTAGTGGGTACGGGGAACAATGGTTAGGGAAACAGGGATTTGCTAATGATGTTCTACAGGGTTGTCAAAGTCAGGAAAAATAAAAAGGAAAATGTTTGTTCAGGATGCAAGGGCTGGTGAGTCCGAAGGAGTCGGAAGCAGAATCTCATGTAGGAACAACGTGTCCAAGTGTCTTGAAAGGGGATCTGCGGCGGTCTTGATTAGGTCTTTGGAGTAGGTGGTAGAAGCTGTCTTTAGCGGCTGCGATAGGTAGAAGTCCAAGAAGCGTAGTAGTAGTTCAAGTGTCAACGTCCAAGTGCTAGGGTGCGTCCGGTACATGAACTGCAATGAGGTCTGATCTAGAAGCAAGGAAGTCGCAGACTGATGCAAAGATCCATGTCACAAGTTGCTGCTCTAGTAAGCATGCGAGTCGGGATGCCGACCGATGAAACAGCATGGTGGCCAAACCAGCTGCATAATCTCCATGAACAGTGAGGCAGCAGGCCATCGTCCTCGTGCGCTTGCCATTTGATCCTTTATCGTCGGTGTCACGCAGGTTCACAAGCATTGGACAAGAGAGACAAGGTAGTGGAGAGGAAAGATGGGACAAGGCTAGGTGAGGACAAGGGCAAATCAGACATAAGGAATGAGGGTCAAGGGGAGGGTGGATTGGGTTCAAGGGTGTGTGTAGAGCGGGGTTGCGAGGTTGTAGTAGGGTTTATACAGGGGTTTAGGGTTGAGAGTAGAGGAGCAGGTGCCAGTGGGATGCTCGACCGACGGGATAGCAGACATCGTCGGGAGGGGGGCAGGCGGAGTAGACTACATCGCCCGGGGGTCGTCCAATGGGATGTGTGTCACTGGAGGGGGTTAGGCAGATGGATAGTCGATGCCAAGTGAGCCACCGGTGGAGGAGAGATCGTCACCAATGGGAGAGCCCATAGAAAAGTGGTCGATGCCTGGGGAAGATTGCAAGAGACAGCAGGAGAATGTTCAGGTGGGGGAGGGCCCGACTGTCGCGGTGGAGGAAGTGGGAGTAGCAGGGCCAGGTCCCATGGAGCGAGGGGCCGGTCAAGTAAAGCAACTAGCGTTGGGGCTGTTGGTCTGTTGATGTCCTAACTGGCGGCAACGAAAACACCCGTTGTGTTCCTGGAGGTATATGCGTTTTGCGGGTGTGAGTTTTTGGAGACGACGGGGTGGCGAGGCAAAAGGTTGTCGGAAGGCACGATCCTGGCGTTCCGTCTGCATTAGGTGGGCAGTTTGGAGGTCCTCAATGGTGAATTGGGGCAGTGTCGACGACGTCATCGGAGGTGGGTGGAGTGGTGTCGTTATGGAAAAAGCGGGGGTGGGAGGGAGCGGGCGCACACTGGTGATGGGTGTGGAGTCGTCGACCGTGGTGAAGCATGCGTGAGAGGAGGTCAGCAAGGGGCATGTCGGGTTCGTGGGCGAGGGCTGTTGCAAGGTCTTTGTGGCATACTCGCTTGATGCGGGAGATGAACGCAAAGTCAGGAATGACGGTGGTGGGGAGGTGATGGCGGAGGGAGCGGATGTATTGGACGAAGTGGTCCGTGGGACCGGTCTGGCGGAGGTGACAGAATTGTTCGAGGTAGTCATCGATGGTTTTCTAGGGGCGTAAGGTGGCACTGAGAAGGTTGGCCCATTGGAGGAAGGAGTGACGTGGTCCTTCGGAGGCTCGGCGGTTGCTGACTTCAGCSATCCCCCATTTGGCGGCATTGCCGAGGAGGTGGGAGGTGGCAATGGGGAGCCAGTGGGCAAGGGGCATGTGGTGGAGGTGAAAAGAGTTTTGTAGTTGGGTTAGGAAGAGGAAAACGTCCTCGTGGGGGAAGCCGGAGAAGGACATGATGTCGATGGATCGGAAGGAACGGGGGATTTCCCCGTTGCGGGGAACGATCCGGGCGAGGGTGTTGAAGCTGAGGTTATCGGGGGTGGTGTCGTAGCAGGTGCAGTCGAGTTGGTTGTTGTCTTCAAGGAGGTAGTTGGGGGGGAGTTGTGGCATTGCGGGGTAAACCCCGACGGTGACTTGGGAATAGGTGGGACGGATGGTGGGGATGGTGGAGGTCGTCATGATGGGTTGGGGAAGGGTATGAGAGTGCGGGGGGGGGAAGAGGGGTGACGTGGATGGGCGAGGAAGAGGGGTGGCGTGGAGGGGTTGTTCCCTCTAAGCATGGTGACGCGGTCGAATATGGACGACATGGTGGCCTTTATGTCGTCGAGAGAGGCGGTGATGGAGGATTGGAAGGTGTCGAGTGTGTGGAGGATGGCGGAGAGGTCGGAGGTGGCGGTGTTTGCTGGTGGTTGTTCGCCTGTGAGGTTGCGGGCGATGCTATCGACCGAGTCGGTGCGGATGTTAGACGTATTGATGGAGGATGCGGTCATGTCGGGGGAAGAGAGGGTGGAGGACGCGGCCGAAATGGATGTGGAGGATGCCGCAGCAGCGGTGGCGGCGGCAGCAGCGGCGCGTTGGGAGTTCTTGCTTTGGCGTGGTGGCATGTGGAGATGGGGGGCACAATTCCTATTTACAAGAATAGAGCGTCATCAAGTGATTTAGCAATGAAGGTAGCAGAGAATCGCGGAGCCATAATTAATTTTGAATAAATTAATTTGAATTTATTCAAAATTTATTCGCGAGTGTATTTTTCAAAAAAGTACGAAAGCGAAATTTTCAGGAATTTCCAAATGAAGAAAAATAATAATTAATTCCGAGGAAACCAAATTTCGACGAAATTTATTCGAATTAAAGTTTGGGGTAAACTTTTATAATTCCGAAAAGGGGTGATTAATTTCGGGTAAAAGAGATTATTTCAGTCGTGAATTAATCGAGTTTAGTCGGAATTAATTAAAGAGTTCAAAAAAAAAAGGAAGTACTTCTGAATAAAAAGAGAATTTTGAAAAAGAATTGCAAAAAATTATTTTTTGAATTTCAAGAAAATTTGCAAAAAGGAATTTTATGAATTAAAATATACTAGCTAAGCGCCCGCGGTGCAGGTGGTGCAGGCAATGCCCGAAAAAAAAAAAAAAAAAAAAAAAAAAGTTAGGCCCAAAACAACTGCTAAATTTCAGCATTGTTAACGAAGTCAAGAAACGGAACACACATAGAGAGACAGAGAAAGGGAGAGAGAAAGAGAGAGAGAGAGAGAGAGAGAGAGAAAGGGAGAGAGGAGAGAGAGAGAGAGAGAGACACAGATAGAGAGAGACAGAGGAGAAAGAAAAGAAGAATGCGATTGGAGTGGCTTGGTCGGAAGGTGACTGAAGTGGCTCGATCGGTAGGTGCTTGGATTGCCTTGGTCGGTAGGTGCTTGGAGTGGGTCGGTGGGTAGTTGCTTGGAGTGACTCAGTGTGTAGGTTCTTGGAGTGGCTCGGGGTGTAGGTGCTTGGAGTGGCCCAGTCGGTAGGTGCTTGGAATGACTCGGTCGGTAGGTGCTTGGAGTGACTCGGTCGATAGGCGCTTGAGTCGGTTGGTTGGTAGGTGCTTGTAGTCGCTGGGTCAGTAGGTGCTTGCAGTGGCGGGGTGGGTAGGTGCTTGGAGTGGCTCAGTGGGTAGGTGCTTGGAGTGGCTTCGTGGGAAGGTGCTTGAAGTGGCTCGGTGGGTAGGTG